GGGCCAACCTCCTGAATTCTTGGAAGGAGAGGGGGGAGAGAGAGAGAGAGAGAGAGAGTGTTACAATCTTGACTGTTACAGCTGTTACAAGTGGATGGCAGTTGTGACAAGTGGCTGCTGATGTGGCCTCTTCTTGTAACTGACTAACTGCCTTCTGTTGGTCTGTTCCAACAGTTTTGACAGTCCAATTGGGTGGCAGTTGTTACAAGTGGGTGGCGGTTATTACAAGTGGCTGGTTAGTTGAGCTGATGTGGCTTCCTCTTGTAAAACTAACTAACTGCCTTTTGTTGGTCAGTTCCAACAGTCTTGACAGGCAGAATAAGCTGGTAGGACTGTACTGACATGATGATGCCAATACATTGATGATAGATGTAGGAAATACCAAAATTTTCCACTCCCTAGCAAACGGGAGAAGACGGAAAAACCAAATTTCCAGTATAGAGGTGGAGGGAAGAGTAATAATTGCAAAAGATGAAATTGAAAGATGCTTCGTGGATCATTTTAAGTCGATCCTAGCATCCTCTAATGAAAACATTGCAGAATTGGGAGATTTACAGTGGGACAAAGTGCCAGAATCTGAAGTTGTCCTCCTAGAAAGAGCCTTCACTATTGAGGAGATACATGAAGCAATATTCTCGATGGATAGATCTAAAGCTCCGGGGCCGGATGGATTTTCAATGGCTTTCTATCAGGATTATTGGGAAATTTTGAAAGATGAATTAATGGATGTATTTGTGGAGTTCTATCAAGAAGGAAAATTATCGCCTGGAGGAAATGCAACTTTTATTGCTTTAGTGCCAAAAAAGGAGGCCAAAACCCATAAGGATTACAAGTCGATAAGTCTAGTGGGTAGTTTATATAAAATAATTGCTAAGGTCCTGGCTAGTAGGTTGAAGATTGTACTGCCCTATGTTATCTCTCAGAACCAAGGAGCTTTTGTAGAAGGGAGACAGAATGTGGATCAAATCTTTGTGGCAAATGAGTGTGTGGCAGCTAAGAGAAAATAAGGTGGCAAAGGTTTGATTTGTAAATTGGACTTAAAAAAAATTATGATATGGTGGATTTGTCCTTTCTGTTGAATTTAATGGAAAAGATGGGGCTAGGTGAACGATGGCGGATGTGGATTAAAGAATGTATTAGTTCAACACACTTTTCCATTTTGATGAATGGGGTAGCAAAGGACTTCTTCCAAGCTAAAAGAGGACTAAGACAGGGTGTTCCTTTCTCTCCATTCTTATTCACCTTTGTGGCTGAGGTTTTGAGTAGACAAATCATCAAGGCTGATCAAGAAAACCAGTTTAAAGGTTGGAGAGTGGGTAGATCTGAAGTGGTGGTGTCTCATTTGCAATTTGCTGATGACATAATTATTTTCTGTGAAAGCTGTGATGAATCCAGTCTAAGGAATCTGAAAAGATTGGTGGATGAATTTCAATAGGCCTCCAAACTGAAAGTCAATTGGGGAAAAAGTTGTGTAGCTAAAATCAACATTGAAGGGGGGGGGGACATCCAAGCCATGGCAAATCTGCTAGGTTGTGAAGTGAAAAATTGGCCTCTTGAGTACTTAGGTATGCCCTTGGGTGGGAATCTATGATAGACGCATGGCCCATGCAGGTGTGTGACGTGGCATAGGGAGAAGAGCAGCAGATTTCCTCCCTTTTCTCATCATTTTCTTGTTAGTTTATTTCTGTTCTATTTCCTTGTAACCTGTACGTAGGAATAGGTCAATAAAGCCAAGGTGTTGGCCTTAGGAAGTAGTCAATTTGGTTAAGTAGTTATTACTTA